AAATTATTTTGTTGTATAATAAATAATCACGCAATCACGCTTACGGTCGTTATAGGAATGTGCGCCACATTTTTCCAGCATGGTAACTTCTAGATGCAAAAAGACGAACAACAGTCAGAACTATTGGTAGGCTATAAAAATCAGTAACCTAACATGATATAGTTACCAATAGGGTAAAAGTGAATGAGAAACGAAATAACAAGAAGTTTATTAATTCTATTCTAAGAGTGAAAAAGAGAATTCGCGTCGCACACACACAGGGAGTGACTGACTGAACTGACAGACGGACGGAGTAACTGCAACGAACGGAGTGACTGACGCGACGGAGTAATCTGACGGACGAGTAACTGACGGACGGAGTAACTACACGAGACTCGGGACGGAGTAACTGACTGGGGGAAAACGGGTGAAAAGTAAACTTGGGGGGGAACGGGAACGGAGTAACTGCACGGCAGTAGTAACTACGACGGAGTAACTGACGACAGGAGCTAAACTTGCGACAGGATCGGACGTATAACTGACGGACAGGAGTAGACTGCACGGACAGAGTAAACTTTGCACGGACGGAGTAACTGACGGACGGCAGTAACAGACGGACCAGAGTAACCATGACGGACGGAGTAAACTGAGCGACAGAGTAAATGAGCAGACGGAGTACTGACGACAGAAGTAACTGACGGTACGGAGCTGAACAGATGAACGGACGAGTAACGACGGAGCACGGAGTAATGACGACGCAGATACGGACGGAGCTTAACCTGAACGGACAGATAAGTGACGACAGAGCGTAACTGAACGGCAGAGAACTGAGCGGCTGGACGTAGAGACCTGGACGGACGCGGCAGTAACTTGACGCGACGGAGTTGAACTGACGGACAGAGTAAACTGACGGAGCAGAGTAAACTGACGGCAGAGTAACTGACGACGGACCTCACAGATGGACGGACGGACTGACGGATGGGCCTGAGTGAGACTGAACTGACATGGACGTGAGCTGTGGACGGACTGTCGGACGGACTGAGACGGCTGAACGGATACGGACGGACTGACGGACGGACCTGACGGAAGACGGACGGACTAGACGAACGGACTGAAGACGACGGACTACGGAGGACTGGAAGACGCGCGACGGACGGCGACTGACAGACGGACGAACTGACAGACGGACAGACGGACAGACGGACGCACTGACGGACTGACGAACGACTGACGGCACGACGGACGGAACGACGGACGGACTGACGAACGATCTGACGAACGGACTGACGGAACGCACTGACGGACGCACTGACGGACGCCAGACGGAGCGCACTGAACGGACGCACTGACGGACGCACTGACGCGAACGCACTAGGGAACGGGACGCACTGGACGGGACGCACTGACGGACGCACTGACGGACGCAACTGACGGACGCACTGAACGGACGCCTTGACGGCACGCACTGACGGACGCACTGACGGACGCACTGACGGACGCAGCTGACGACGGCACTGACGGAACCCACTGACGGACGCACTGACGGACGCACTGACGGACGCAACTGACGGGCACTGACGACGGTTGGACTGACTGACGAAGGCGCATGAGGACAGACAGCGCCGTCTAATGGACGGTCGCCTTGACGACTAACGAATCGCCCTCACGGACGGACCGGTCGTCTTAAAGAACGGACGTCGGCCTGACAGACAGGACGGTAGGCCTGACAGACGACGGACGGTCGCGTTTAAGAACGGACGGTCGGCCTGACAGACGGACGGTTAAGATCCTTGACGACGGACGGTCGACTTGACGGACGGACTTTCAAGCCTGACAAGAGTCGGCCTCACGGAGGGCAGTCGGTCTGACGGACGGACAGTTCAAAATAGTACAATAATCAAAATAGTCATAAATAGTTATAAATACTCAGGATAGTCAGATGATTTGTTGAAGCGGATCCGTCAGTTTGATCGAATGCTGCGGTTGTTTCCCTCACTGTTCGATAGTGCTGTGGACGCCTTCCCCACTTGATCGACTTGCTGCGCGTCGATCCCGCTTTGAATCGACTTGCTGGTTCGATCCCCACTTGATCGACTTGCTGGGTCGATCCCCCAATTGATACGACTTGCCTGGGTTTGATCCCCCACTGATCGACTGCTGGTCGATTCCCCACTTGGTCGACTGTGCGGTCGATCCCCCACTTATGTATCGACTTGCTGGTTCGATCCCCAACTTGATCGACTTGCTGGCGGTCGATTCCCCTCACTAGAATCGACTTCTGGTCGATCGGCCCACTGATCGAACTTGCTGGGTCGATCCCTCCACTTGATCGACTTGCTGGTCGATACCCGCCCCATTGAATCGACTTGCTGGGTCGATACGCTCCACTTGATCGACTTGCTGGTCGATCCCCCACCTTGATCGACTTGCTGGGTCGATCCCCACTTGATCGCACTTGCTGGGTCGATCCCACTGATCCGACTTGCTGGGTCGATTCCCACTTGATTCGACTTCCTTGGGTCGATCACCCACCTGATCGACTTGCTGGGTCGATCCCCCACGTGATCGACTTGCTGGGTCGATCCCCCACTGAATCGATGTTGCTGGGTCGATTCCCCCACTTGATTCGGACTTGGCTGGGTCGATCCCCCAACTTGAACGACTTGCCTTGGTCGCGATTCCCCCCTTGAACGACTTGCTGGGTCGATCCCCCACTTGATCGACTTGCGGTCGATCCTCCCACTTGAACGACTTCTGGGTCGATCCCCCACTTGAACGAACTGTTGCTGGGTCGAATCGCCCCACTATGATCGACTTGCTGCGTTCGATCGCCCCACTTGATTCGGGTTGTTGGGTCGATCCGCGCCACTTGAAATCGACTTGCTGGTCGATCCCCCACTTGAAGCGACTTGCCTTGGTGGATCCGCGCCACTTGACAGACTTGCTCGGGCGCCCCGCCAGTTGATCGAATTGCTGGGGTCCGATCCCCCACGTGATCGACTTGCTGGGATCGATCCCCGCACTTGGTATCGACTTGCTGGGTCGATCCCGCACTTGAATCGACTTGCCTGGGTCAATCACGCCATTTTCAGCGACTTGGCTGGTCGATTCCCCACTCCACTGATCGACTTCTTGGGTGCGACACCCCCTGATCGAGCTGCTGGTCGATCCCCCACGTGGTATCGACTTTGCTGGGTCGATGCCCCCGACTCGGTCGACTTTGCTGGGTCGATCCCCACTTGATGCGACTTGCTGGCGTACCAATCACCCATTTCAGACGACCTTGCTGGGTCGATTCCCACTTGATCGACTTCTTGGGTTGATCACCCACACTGATCGACTTGCGTCGAGATCGCCGCCACTTGGTCGACTTGGCTGGGTTCGATCCCCACTTGATCGACTTGCTGGTCGCATCACCCATTTCAGCGACTTGGCTGGGTCGTATCCCCCACTTGATCGACTTGCTGGGTCGATCCTCCACCTTGATCGACATGCTGGCGTCGATCCCCTACTGTATCGACTTTCTGGATCGATCCCCACTGATCGAGACTTTTTGGGCTGGGTCGATCACCCATTCAAACGGACTGCGGGTGATTCACCCACTTGCAATCGGACTTGCTGGGCGATCGCCGCACTTGAACGACTTGCTTGGCGTCGACTCCAACTGGATTGACTGCCTCGGTCGTGTCCTAACCTGATCGACTTGAGTCGATTCTCTCACTTGATCGAATTGCCTGGGTAGTATAGAATCTCTAAGTTTGATATCCGTGAAAAAATAATTGAGATGCAAAGTGACGAACGCATAAACCTGGTGTGTGACTTTCGTAGTCCGCAAGTACCGCCTCTTCCGTCCGTCGTGGGCTGGGCGCAACGATGCCGGCCTGGGCCGCGGCCACGTGCTCTCTGAGGGCCCACAAACGGACGGTCGTGAGGTGACGCAAAACAGCGCAGAAGGGGAAGTGGGGGGCGAGGTGTTTTTGGCGTACATTTCCACTTTATCGGACGCGTGGACGGCTCGTATGTTGGTCGCGGATTTGCAGATGATTGTCATGGCGTTGGATTGCAGGAAGGGCTTGTGCCGCCGATAGCGCTTTAAGGGTCACATTTTTAAATTTGTTCTCGCGAGTTTGAGAACTTAATTTCAAATTCGCGTTTTGCTAGATTTTTGTAAAAGGTCATCGTAGCGTCAATTCTATTTTAGAATAGGCGTCAAATCAAATGTCGTTTACAGATCGAAAATCGAATCATTGGTTCAGACGTTATCGGTACAGTAAATTTAATTATTCTGGTGCTGCCACGTGGTGGCTACAAATTGTACTAGTGTCGGGACATTTAGCCTTAATAAGTGGAGCACGGTCGGTAGACTTATGCAATGAACCATTTCTTTGGGAACGTATGATTCATTAGTTCTCATTGACAGGAACGAAACCAGCCGATCATTGTAGGGGGGGGGGCATTGTAGATTTTCCTTAAATAATAAACATATTTGTTATTATATTGTATATTATTCACGTACGAGATATGATACTACACAATATATTTGCTTAAATAATTACATAATTGACCATAAAGACATATCTAAATCAACTATGCCAAATAAAATAAGGTACTGAACGAAACCTCTAGAGCTTTTCGGGAGCCAAGGGTTAGAGATACAGCAGCGGCATCAGTGGCAGATGCCCTGGGTCATTCAACCTCAGCCGATGACAACTTGTAGTCGATACATTACCAAAGATGTACAGTTATTATTGTTGTTATTATTATTATTATTATTATTATTAGGTCAATATAGAGTCAAAAACGTACGAAGTTGATGAAACGTTGTAAATAGAGATTTATAACCAAAGGAGTCTGTTATTTCACATTAGTAGACAATAATATAAAACAAGGAAAATAATAATTGTAAAAACCATTCATCTCATTTTGCAGGCAACTCTTTATTGTCACTAGTTTAATGAAATTCATAATTTATACTCAAACCTTAACATATGATAATGTTTTATAAATCTGATCTTTCACAGTTGACTATATTGTGGACACAAGTTGGATGATAGCTTGTATAATAGCTACAATGAATGCAGCTCTTTACTACGCATGCAAGAATCTGGTAAGGATGAAATTTGAAATTATGGAATTAAACCTACAATTACAATTATGCTTTCAACAGAAATCAATATTAAATTAATGTTGATGGTATGAATTTCAGAAAAATGATAGACACCTGGAATATATTATGTGTGCTACAATGTCATTGTATCTGGTAGATGTGCCGTTCTCTATTCTCTACTACATGGCTGGAGTTGTGACTTCACCTGAAGGGTTTAAACCCCTCTGGCTGACGATCCGTATTGGTGAGTACAATGTAACCAACGATTTGGCTAATGTCACATAACTTGGAAACATTTGTAAAAAAAACATTGTTTAACGGATTGTCAAATGTGATTTATAATTGTGTAAGGAAATAACTCTAGGAATACAACATTTTTTAAATATTTGTTTCAGAAATTGAATTTCGTTCCAACGTATTTTGATAATATCTAATAAATACTTGTTGCGTACTGTTTTTTTCTTTTTGAAAAAGGTGTGTGGTAATGCAGATTATAAAAGGCATAACTGAAATATCCTCATTTATAACCATGGTAAAGGCAATGTTATGATTCGAATAATACGGGGAAAACAATTTTTGAAAGTATTTTAAATCACGTTAACTATGAAAAACTATTTGGAGGCACTTTTCCGGTTGCAACCATTTACGTAACCAGGAAATCACTTGTACATTTGTACATTTTCCAATTTCAGTAAGTTTCAGCATCATATTTATATACTTTCTGTTGTCATCATCCCTTTTATTTTTCTCAAAGAAAATGTTACTTGAGTCGCGAATAGTATTGTTTACCTACTTCAAAGATAGCACACAAATATTTACATTAAAATTCAATGTTTCGCTGAGTATCTAAGATAAATAAGAAAAGTTACTAATTTTCTTATTTAACTTCCAGGTAGTTCGTACAGTCCCCTTTATAATTCGCCAAACTTCCGAAACGGCAGGCCTGCACAGCATTCTGCATTATATATTTCTAATTTCAAATCAACGAATACTATTTGTTCACAATCGTTTACGAGATTAAATAAAAAAGATTAATCTTTTGGGTTATATTTAATAACTCATAATAATTTCATGAATGCCCATAAATATCGTTACAGAGTCACTCGTTGGTACCTATTAACCAGCTTTATAAAGAGGTAAAATGTTCATAAATGGGTGCTCCCAAACATTACCCTTCTTGTAATTGCCTACATTTTATTTTTACATCAATCTCAATTTGAGAGACTGCCCTCAATTTTTCCGCTACGCAAACATTTAGAGATAACATTATTGGTGAAAAATGAATTATTGGATTGTAAATTTATGCTAGCTAAAATTACATAATGCATTTTTAAATGAGGTCATTGCTTCAAAATATTGTTTACGTGTTACCACGAGAATTAAATAAATAAAATAAAAAATTAACACAGGTCGATTCACAGTAGTGCACAGAACATTAACAGTGAAGTACGGCCCTTGTAGCTATAAAAGCGGTAGACGGCCCATTGAAATAACTGGGCAAATAATTTTACAGCATGTATCATTGCATTAGATGCCCAATCTACACGCCGAGCGTCCCCTCTCCCAGTTCCTCCTCCCCGTCAAGCTGTCGCCTCCCCACCACTTACACTTTCGGCGTTCTCGCTGGCAAAGGGCTGGCTCTTAAGTGGAGAATGCTCGCGGGAGCAGTCAATGCGCAGCCCAGTGATAAGGTGTGCACTTCAATTCAGAAGCTTGCCCGGCTGCCCCGCATAGAGCGCGGGACAGAACTCCTTTGGCAGCGGAACGGAGAGGGGGAACGCGTGCCTGCGCTACGAAAACGCCAATGCGCCCTCTGCTCGAGCGTAGACACCACCGTATGAGCAAAAGCGCGATGACAGTAGCGAATGTGCCCCTTGTGCTCGCGATGGCTCGCTCGTTCATGCTAGTTTCGCACGGATTCACTAGGATAAACTTTCTAGCGCCGGTGGTACCCTAGATATTTTTGCGCATGTATTTAAATATTTATTTAACAATTTTTTTAAATATTTAAATATTTTTTAAATATTTATTTATTATATTTTATATATTTATATTCATTATTATATTTATTATTTATTATTATTATATTTAAATATTTTTTTTAATATTTATTAAATTTACTGATTTATTCATTGATGTATTGCTGTAGACAAGGTACATTGCTTTGCAAGGAATGCTACTATTAAATCCGTGAATACATCCTTGTTTTTTCAGCCCTTAGCATCGTCCACTTGTGTCTGCTGTACTGCCTCTTGGTGGAACTCCACGAGAGCATGGATCCTTCTCCAATTCCTCTACTGCAGCCCAACGCCGCTCACTGCGGTGCTGTGGCCTCCGACCAAGTGCCCAAAGAAGAAAATGCACAGCGCGGCACCTCGCCCCTCCCTCGCAACCACCGGACAAACCACCAAACTGTGTTCTGCGTGGGGAAACAGAGCTACCTCAGATAGAGCGATGAGGAGAAGACTCAACTGTTGTACAAAAGACACAACGGTATGAATTAAACACTCCAAGAATCGGGTTAAACAAAACGATTCCGACGGGCAAGTGCATTACACAACAACATATATGTTGAGAAGGCTCTAAAATTATTCATTCAGGTTAACTGGTATTACTTAAGAGTGGATCCGTGATCGGCTGAAGAAAAGTTCAGGCGGAAACGTTGTAGAGAGTCTTCCTAACGTAAAAGATCACAGCGTATGAACTTTCAAGTTTCAATTGCATTCTTCCCTATCCTCTACATTCCCATTTCATTAATTTATTTTGAAATATCCTACTACATTATCAGTATAATGAATAGAAGTTTATACTTACGATATAAGTGTCGTAAATCTGATTGCAATACGAGATTGGAAAATTACAATATGAGGCCAGAAGCCAAGTTTGCTAAGCAATTAAGTATTGTAGTCAGTAAAGTAAGGATTTTCGTGGGGTAAAAAACTAAAACGTGCATTTAAAATACTAAACCGTGCAAAAACATACAATAAAAGATCAAAACTTTCCAAAACGGTGCTACGTAGTCTAAAAAGTTACAGAAGTTATATTTTAAATGTGTTATTTAAGGTGAATGAAATACTTTTACTAATTTTAGTGTTTCATTATAATTAGGATAGCACATATTGTTTAAACAACCCGCATTTATTATTTGAAATATTATTCGCAAACAAAATTAAATTAACATAAAAATACAAAAAAGTTAACACAAAAATTGAAAAATATAAATATAAATGTACCTTCAGAAATCAAAAATAATGTTACAAAAAATGTTTTAATTATTTTCACTATAATCTACAATTATATATATATATATATATATATATATATATATATATATATATATATATATATATATATATATATATACACACACACACACACACACACACTTTTCTGTGCGCAGAGCCTCACTCTGACGTGCGCGTGCACGCAGCTAAAAGCTGTCAAAAACTGCGATTCTCCTCTCTTGATTCAGCAGGGCAAAATCTCTTCAGGGAAATTCGATGAATTTGAAACCCAGTACAGCTTGCCTCAGCTCAGCTTAGAGCATAGGGTCAAATGTGAATCGCACATGCTCCAACTCGTATTGGTAAGTTCAGCAAACACTGACAACACGGATATATGATCCGCTTGGGAAAATAGACCCCGAGATTGCGTTGGCTGAGCAGCGCAACCAAGGGGCCGTCCACAAATTATGTAAGAGGGGATTTGAGGCAGCCCTTACGTTGCGTTACATAGCGGTAGGGGGTATTCCACTAGTAAAGGCATCTTGTTAAAAACCCTTTTTCTCTGTCAACGTTTGTATCACGTTACTATCATAGTAATGGTAGCAGGTCCTACACCCCTTCCTTTCCCAATATATTTGTACAATGATTCTTTTACATTCGGGGTACGGTTTTTCGAAAGGTTCCAGTTACAGAATAACCTTTTTGCTTCAAAAGTCAAAACCAGTTCACTCCACCAAATTATCAATGAAAATATTCAATGGCAATTTATAAAAATTCTTTATCAATTCATGCAACATTCTTACCAGAGACGACGCTGTTTTATCGAATAAGATGTTATATTCTTCTGTGATCTAGGCATTTTTACCCTGATAAATATCAAAGTCCAAAGATTGCCATCACCTGAATTTATTCATCGTATATTAAATCCAAATCTGGTAGGTTTGGTGATAATAAATTGCTTGATTTGTGACGGATAAACAATTTTACGATTACGGCTCGTCAAAATTTAGAATTTGATTATTCATGAAATCATCAATTCCATTTTTCTTGATAGGGTTCATGATTGGACAAAACTTACGCAGTTTGTCTCGAGAATCCTTGAAATTATTATCTGCACAAAGACTTTTTTTCATCCCAGCCATTTTTGGAAGTTGGTAATTGATTGTATCCTCTCAGTATCAAAAACCTACAAAACATTTTATTTCCTCAAGACAAATATTTTGAGGTTCGTGGTTTTAAAAAATGTACTTTTCAGTCTCCTTTCTGAAAGGCACGTTCACTTCAACTGTTAAAAAACTGTGAACGCGAGTATTTTAAATATTACAAACAACAATAGTGATGCCGAAATTTCTTTTTGTTTAAAGTCTCCACTGATTTACTTCAGAATTGGCTTCCCTTTTCGTAGTCGATTTTTTATTGTCACAATATTTTTGACTACGGGATTGAATATTTAGATGGAAAACTAGGGGGACTAGGTACGGACTCAGCTAATACTTTTTCAATGTGCAATAAAAATATTGTGATTGAATCGCAATACAACAGGATAAGGAACTTTATTTTTCAACAATTAGTAAAATTGTATTATGATAACAAATGTAATTTTAAAACATTTATATTGATTTTCACAAAAATTCAAACAGCTTCATTTGAAATCACAATAATTATTACACCGTGTATATATCAATATTGTCATTAAAAGGTACAGAAAATAATATATAATTGTTCTTAAAACAGCAATGAAATAGAAATTGTTAAAACCCAACAAATGAACCCAGCTTAATTAGACTCTTTGTGTTAATAAGTTAAATTCTTTTAATTTATTGCAGCTCAAAGCAGAATGATTTTCTGTATATAATACGAAAATCATTTTTCACCAGGCAACTGAGCAGCACAGTGATACAGACACCGTCAGTAATTCCGATCGTCAGTGCGTTATATCGTCGCTTTGCCATTAACATACAACGCATGAAGGAAAATAAAGGAACGTGAATGGAGACCCTTCTTTCGGGGCTTTCGTCTGCGAAGTGTCGGCCTCTGACTTTCTATGTCGTGCGTCACTTCTTGCATGACCTCCTCTTCCCGCTGGGAATCCCGCTGCGCACGGCGTGGCAACGCCGCACTAATGGGATCCCCCGAGGAAGGTCAGCGGCGCGCAGTGCGAAGTACTCGCGAAATATCCGGGAGAAAGAATCATTAAATCTAAACAATCCTAAAATGCCCTACATCAATCAATGCCAATCCGGTACTACCCGAGAACAGGAATGTTTGTGTGGAGGGGGGGCGGAACGGTTCCTTTAAGAATAAATTGCAATATAATTGTAGGAGATTTCATTCAATAACTAATCAAACGTATATTTATCAATATATTACAATATTTTTTTGTATTACAGCATTACAAAAGACCTTTTTCTTTAATCGTTGATAAAATGACATCTTCTGGCACAGGTAATGAGGTATTAGTCGATTATGGCACGGATAATTACGTCATCACACATTCAACCAATCGCAGCGGGAGAAGCCTAGGGAGGTAAAACGAACAGCCGACCACTGTTTTTTCGCCCGCATGTCAAATACCTGTAACGTCACAAAGTTGTTTCCGAAAATTAACTTTGATTTTCCTATAGATTTATAATGCTCAGATACAAAAAATAACATATCCAACTAGTTCATAATGCTGTTTCACTGAGCGTCGCTCCTAACGTCGCTCGTCTTAAAAACATGCAATAAAGTTACTTATGCACTAAAGAATAACATTACAAGCTGATTGCTTTTTCTGCATGTTTTTGAACCAGTTCCTGAAGTTTAGCAAGTACATACGAGTATAGTATATTTGGCATATTTTTTGCACATGCACTTTCCGCAGGGAATCATGCTACCACGTCCTTTCTTTAAAGAACTAGTTCAACATTCACTATTGCTCAATTGTTCTCTACAGAGGCAGATCTTAAAATTTAACTTAAAAATGCTTATGAGGAAGCCTAACATTAAGAAAACTCTGGTGTTCGACGAGCTAATTCTTGTGACAATTTCAAATTGTTTTGAAAACATCAATTAGCGTTAAAACACGATACTACTACTACTAATGTTCACATAGGTCCTAATAACAAAAGTCCTCATTGATGAAATAGTAACACCTTACCTAAATGAAGACAGGGGGCAACGAACTAGGCTGATGTGCGACGTTGACCCACTCAAATACACACACACACACACACACACAGACACACACACACATTGGTAAGCGTCTATTAATCAATACTCGCTAAAATAATCCGACATTGTTCGGGTATTTATTTATGGCACAGAATTGATTTCGTTTCCTGTCTGATTGATCTGTCAGTGGAATATATCAGAAGTATTTTTATTTACGTCCCCTCCCCACCACGCTCTGCCCCTGCTCCACCCCAACCTCCCTTCCGGATCCGCTGTGCCCCCCTCCGTGCCCGCTTCCCCATCAAAATACGCGTCCGCTTCGCTGCAGCGCAATCCGGAATCCGGAACGCAAACCAAAAACAGTGTAAGCATTTCAACCTGTTGAAAGAATGTTTTGTAAAATCATTTCTTCGCTGTTTCATAATTCGTAATAGCAACATGTAATCAGAATTTCACAATGTTGTGTGAAATTCAGTGTTGTTGGTCCTGTGTTGATAACTCAGACCACCGATTTGTATTCTATATTACCGCAGACATAAAAAAAGACAAAACTGTGTAAAAACAAAACATGACGTGGAAATATCAAGAAGTAACAACCTAATGGTGCAAAATTGTGGTTGAGAAACCGTTTATGTTAATAAGTATAAGATAGAGTATTTAAAAAATGACTTTTTATAAATATTCGAATAGGTAACACCAAAAGAAATTCTCATAAATTTGGATTGGGAAATACAGTAAAGACATTTTAACTCTTTAAATTCAAGGTTTCAAAAGACGTTGCAATTCAGAGGATTTCCATTTCTTAAATAATAAACAAATAGCTATCCGCCTGGAATTGATATTAAAACATTGTATTCATTATTATTATTATTATTATTATTATTATTATTATTATTATTATTATTATTATCATTATTATTATTATCATTATATTATTACTATTATTATTACACATACAGTAGTTAGTATGACAAGTTCTATAACACACATTATTTTATTATAGATATGAAAGTTGCATTTTACTGACACGTACAAATGAGTTCCACATTTATTCCACGATCGTGGCCAAGTTCCAATTATCAGAAATATAGTTAAATATTTACCCTATAAAGAAATTTAAATATCGTTAAAATTTCTCTCTAGTAAACACACTGCACTATATATCTCCTACCTGAAATCTTGCTACACTCATGTGTGCCTGTGCTGTGAGGATGAGAATTATCAATTTTCTCCAGAGGGAACAATTGACTACTTCAGGAAGAAACATGGAAGATGTGAAACGATTAGCATTTTTACGAAAAATATTTTAACAACGCAATTCAACAACAACGATAATACGGAGCTTTTGCACGCCTTAGCGGAAAGCGATCGAGTGCAATTTCGAACTTCAATGCATTCGAAGAGGAAGAAAAGCGATGCGCAACTCAAACTGCGTGTGCGCAGAAGATCGATAGTGCTGTCGATTGCTTTAACTATCATGCTCTCAAGAATGTTTCGTGTTCAGTTATTCTGATCTTGATTCCTTCATTTGAACGCTTCAGGGTGTTCATAAATACGGTACCTAATATCGACTAATTGTACCTGCAATCATGCCTTTCTCCCAAAAAAATGGCCTTTAGTTTTAATTTGCTACATTTTTTTAATTGGAAAAATTGATATAAATATTTATGTCGTAATTATTTAATTACTTGAAAAATGATATCGAATAGCCTAATTTACACGCTATATAGTGTGTGAATAAGTATATAATATAACAACGATTGTTTATTAATAAACCAAAATCTAGGATCCCCCCGACCACAAATTATAGGCTGGATACCCTCTGTCTAGAATCAATGCACACCTTGCTGACAGGCGGGGCTTACTCTAGAATTTTGCCCGCGAGATCGCGTAATTTTCGCACTGTGCAAAACGCGCCTCGTCGTGGCGTAGGAGGAGGGGCTTAGTGTCGCCTTCCGCCGCCAGAGCGCAGCGGTGGCGCGGGCGAGCGAGCGGCGTCTACCGAACGCCAGTCGACTGCAGTCGCCCGACAGCACCACGAGGAGCAGCGATGGCGGTGGAGAGCTGGACCGAGCGCGCGACGGGCCGCGTAACCGAGGCCGCCCTGCGCCTGCGCCAGCCCGCGCGCCGCTTCGCGGGCAGCGTGCGCTCCGCCGTCACCGTCGGCGCCATCGTCATCGGGGTAAGCCACCCCCCCCCACAACACTACCAGTGCTCACAGGGAGGGATTACTTCGTTTGGGGCGTCTTTTTCACACACTTCACAAAGCGAAGCGCAAACATGCGCAGCGTGTCTTTGGCAGGGGCTTACGAAGACCCTTCCCATCTGGGTACACCCAAACGCACATGGTGGAAATGATTCCCGCCAATTCGCATCCTGCATGGAGCGTGCTGGGTGTGTTTTCGCGTCGTCCACGCAGAGACTGCCAGATACGTCAGCAGTCACGTGACTCCAATGGTAGTTAAAGAGTTACGTTTCGAAGAATAACAACCTGGGAAGAAGGGAACAGGTGTGTTCAATGGCGCTGATAAGAAATCACGAATTATGCCGTCCCTGAAATGAATGTTTCCAGGCTTCAACAATTTCAGCAATGCAAATTTTTCAGTGATCATTTTCAAATCACCCTCTGCCTAGACCCCCGAGGGGTTATTGGGTATGCTGCTAGGAGTTGCGTAATGATACGTAATGGGAATCCATGCAAGAATCCATCCATGCAATGGGAATCCATGCCATTTGTCCGTTCACGGCCAAAACCGCCGCTAGGCAGTGCTACACCCGTAAAATATTTTTAAAAAATTCAATTTTTCAGTTCTAGTTGTCAAAATACATCATTGAACGAGTTTATTCAAACTTAAATAGTTGCATATATTAAAAGGCAATGTTGCAACTCCATTATTCAATAATAGAATAATGTTTTTTGTTACGACAAGAGTTCCGTTTTACAAATAACAAGGCAAATCTAAATTCACTATTAAGAATTATTAATAGCGTGTCTATATGTTTAAAGTATCGCTCATTTACGTAGTTGCAGACATTCAGAATGACTTTAAAAATGCCCTCCCCCAATAATTTTTTGCCGCCGACGCCCGTGTGAGTGGGTGCTGCAAGAGCGTGCCGGGCTCGACAGAATGATTAATAAACGCGAGCGTTCCAATTCTCTTCGATTCCCAACTCGCAGGCAGACCTGCAGAAACATTACACCTAAAACAATGATTGCGTACGGAACGACCGAAAGTTTATTTATGACTATGTACATCTGATCACATTATCACGTACACAATGACGTATAATAATGTCATAAATAATAATATCATAACTTCCACAAAATGGAGATTACTACTTTATAACTTCCTTTCTTTTCTCTCGGTACTCTAAATTAAATGAAGGCATCGTTTTGCGATTTCTTTTGTCTAAAGATTGTTATTTTCATTAGTAATAATTGTTAAAATTATAAGGGTACAGAAACTTTGAATTCATAATTATCTTATAACGTATATCCATTAATACACGATTACGAATAACCGATATGGAACGCTAGAGACACAGACCAATTCCACCTCTCCGCTAACTCCTCTGCTATTATTGAAACTGCCCAAACAGAGCAGAGCTTTCATTCAAACTTCCGGTACTATCCCGGAAATATCCCTCGATATAGTATTTGATTCTTTTTGTGGTTCAAAGTCGTTTCATTTTAAAACCTTCAGAAATTTTATTTTTCGTGATCCCTTTTCCATTTACACCCGCGAAACACATACTTTGCATATATCGCACGTGCACTGCAGGTGAAACAAATCTTTGACTATTAAAGTCCAAATTTTCTCCACAATTTTTATAATGTAATAAATTCCTCAATAATAATAATATCAATAATAATATTATATAATAATAATAATAATAATAATAATAATAATAATAATAATAATAATAATAATAATAATGAATAATTACATTTCACGAATGCTTTTGGGGGTTTGGCAACCAAATACACTTCCTTGACAGAAGGGTTGCCTACATTTCGGACCGTGTCCAGGGGCTATTATTTATGTTCTGCACAGCCAACAACCACATCAGACTTCCTTACATCTTTTCATTATTTGTGCAACACTTTAATGTTTTGAATACACTTTAGGTTAGGGATTGTTGTCACAAGGGATTAGCATTGCTCCCTAATCGTCACTCAAAATGATATTGTACGAATTGATTTATTGATTACTTCCGTGTCTCCCGACGCGTCAAATGTTATATTCATTAGTCCCGTACGTGTAGTGCTTGTTTTAACACGGTATGTGGCGGTGACCTTCCCACGCCGGCCAGTGTGTTCGGACGTGGGGAGTTTCCTCCTTCTAGTATCTCCCAAGGGGGGGGGCACCACTCCGGCCGAAACAAGCTCTAACTGACTAGTACTGCACATGTCGAGAGACTTAAGTTCACGTAAGTGTATGTAAGTCTTCGCTGGGAACAGAACAAATCACGAAAAATTGCGAGCACTTCTATTCTTAGGGCACTGCTCCGGCATTCACCTAATATTGATCAGAGAAGCCACGGAAAATTACCACAGGAAGCACAGCCGTAAAATTAGAAGTAGCTATATCGCTAGTGTCGAAAATTTGCCACCGCCTAGTCAGTGTAGCTGCAGAGACATGAGTCGATGCTCTGAGCCATCTCAGCGTGTTTTGTAAGAATTGATACGTCAATGCGAAATCAGATGAGAGAACGTATGCTTGCCAACGAACGCAGTCGTCAAACGAATATAAACGAACAGGTCGTAAATACACCGCATTGTTTACTGTCATCGCAATTTTAATGAAACTCGCAATATCCTAAATTTTAATTACATGCATGTAAATAATATTTCTTAAAAAGTAAGATTTAAAGTGTATTTTTTCGTAATCTAGCTACACAAATGGTATCAAGCAACCATTGGCGGAATGACATGCATAATGGGGAGTGAAACGGACTCCAGGACAAGTTAGCCAACGTTTCTGAAATAAATGTCAATCATTTCTTCGAGTTAATCACCTACCATTTTCATCAGTTTGCTTTAGCATCAGTGAGTGACAAAAAAATCGCTCACATGACTGCGACAGCATCTTGTGCTTTTCAACAAGAGTCTGTTCGCATTCTGTATGACTTTCGTCATTCTCCATGTGTGGAGGAAGAAGCCAATTGGCCCAACGTACCAGCATCAAATTGCGCATGCAAATGGTATCACACTGAAGCCAAATTTTAGGTGTATACTTGCACCAGACTTCGATGTTGCTGCGTACGGAACTCGAACTTCATTCATTACAGGTTAACTTAGATAATTTCAGTAACGGGGTTATTATTATCTAGAAACTCAAGTAAATTTACATGCCAGATGATAAATATTAAGTAAATTGTTAGGCTTAAGAGAAATAAAATCGATATAAATATTGATTCATATTGCCCCTACTGTACTGTTATGAAACATATTTATTGGAATGAAAATAAAGCTTATAAATTATATAATTAAACAATTCAAGAAAAACGTTTGACTCTAAATCAATACTACACTCTTTCCCTACGTGTCATTGAAATTATAATGCAATATAATATTTACCAAATACCCCTTATTCCTGCCAGACTTCGTCTTTCGTATTACATGCACTCGCTAAAAGTGGAAAAGGAACTTTTTTACATTTCTTTTAATCTTTTCCGTTAGCTAGTATCAGCTAGTGCGTCCATTAAAACTATCTACTTAAACTTAAAGCTAAATATTTACGCATACATTATGGGTGAAATTTTGAACCTAGATCGTGAATATTACTGTGAATACACGAAACCTAGTCGGCGGAGAAAAGTGGGATTGATTATAAAGACAAAAAATTAATTAATATTACTATTGTGATATTACCACTACTATTGTAATTGCAGTTGTTGTACACATGTTAAAATGAGGATTATCATAGCATTTCTCGTAACTTGCGTTCCTCTGCACAAACATGAGTCATGCATCATACACAGTAAATGATTACTGTTACGTAACCACCAGCAAAATGCAGGCGTATTGATCGTTCAGTTACTGCTCAGAACATATTCTTTCAGTTCTCTTTTCCTTATGTAAATAAATACTTTAAATAATTTATTCACGTTGCATACAACATTAGCCCTATTTTAAACGCTTTTCAAAATAATAACACTTTTGTTCATTATCCGGGCAAATAGAGGGCACTGAAATATTTGTTGGACATCCTTTGAAGCATCGAATTCTATTATCTTCAGTTATGTTTCAGTAATTTTTGTGCGCCAAGTTGAAGGGGTCTTACTTCAAGACTATGCCTTGAGAATATCACCACAATTTTACACCATTTCCTTAGAGGGGTTTTATTTTGTCTTGTGTATGGTCTGTCTTTTGTTGTTTAAGGTCCTTTCGTTACTCCCAGGAAGAATGGAGTGTAAAGTAAACTGGAATCTATGTGTTTATTGTTTATTATTATAAAAAAGTGTTTAATGCTGTAGTAAGGTCGTGACGTGCAAAGTACATCTTTACTATCAAATTGTTCGTTAAGCGATCTACAGCTTGTTCTGTAGACATTTGATTAATCTGCGATGGAGAATTTCGTTGCCTGTGAGCGCAGTATGTTTTACAATAAAAAGTCCCTGTTGGTGTTCTGCCGCAGGGCTCTTCTTTTCTGCAGCATCCCTGATTTCTACCAATGTTCACAGAACCCCCAAAAGTCTAAAGGTTTCTCCAAAATATCTTGCACGTATGAAAAATAGGCAAAAGGAACGCTCTTGAGTTTATAGCCAATATTTAAATTATGAGAAATTCAAACCTATAAATTACTTGCTTAGATGTTTGTGTTAGTAAGCACATGTATAGTATCATTAAGAATCTTAACAGCGTTAAAATCTGAATTAGTAACACCTCTTTTCCCATAAAATTGCCATGTTTTGGCAACAAATTCAGAATTCCAATTGTTTTTTTCGAAAATACATCGTTCTGAAAACAACTTCGCTTTTGATGCCTGAACATCATAAATTTTCCCGAAAGAGTTTCTTGTTCGATTTGTTCCTAGTCTAAACTCTTCTTCAACCAAACATCCTCGTCCAGTACCCAATCGGGTGCTCGCTACTTGGCCTTTCCTTATCCCCTCTCCTCCCTTGTGCAGCTGTGTACGCGGAATCCATGACGTCACTGCGTCGGAACTCTGAGAACTTGCAATTCACCGAAATCTTTTCGTACATAAAAAGTAAAAATAAAAGATATGAAATGGGCTTACTGAGCATGAGCTCAGAACGAAGCAGACAGACGTAGTTGCGCAATAATTTCTTATCCATATTAGATCGAACCGCGTTCAAACACACTTCGAGTTTTATACATTAGCGAACGGTCCTTGCATTTTGCATGCATTTTCTGTAAACACCACCTCCTATTACGTTACGGAAAACCAGGGTCGGGTTTAAGTATTGCCAGACCCTTAAGTGCAAAATACTGTTGAGG